ATATATATATATATATATATATATATGAGATTCATGGGGTACTTGTTGATGGCAATAAAAGAGTATTAAATTAGAGTTGCTCATTCCTGTATAAACCCTGTAAATTGTGAACATCTTTTGAACGGTCTGGATGAAGACCATCATTCTCTGGAAAAAATATCTACTTTGGTTCATCCAGACTGATTCGGTGGGACGTCATGGTAAATCTCCCCCCTCAGAGAGCCCCGATGCTGGGCAGCGACAGACCAGGATGCGGCTGGAGGTGAGGGAGGATGAGCGGTCCTTCTAGGATTAAATGAAAAGCCACCAACAGACCTCAGCAGAGCATTCCTTATTTCTACCTTTTCTAACATCGTTTTCTCTGTATTTCTTTCTAAGTGAAAAAGAACCAGTCCCTAACTGGCTGCCATGTTGCGATTTCATAGATCAGCTTGAGAGCGGAGCAGTGAACGCTCTAACCATGCGGTTTGATTCCCCCGCACAGCCACCGCGCCCGTTCTAAACGCAGCATTAAAGTGATCATAACAATGCAGGTAGAGACTGCACATGTCCACCGAGGTAAACAGGAAGTAATGTGCTAAGCTAGCAGAGGAAATAAGGCATCTGTGAGCAGAGGAAAGGAGGCCGACCTTTAACGCATCGTCCCCACTGAGATAGAGCTACAGCTGATGAGAACAAGAGGAATTTGATGGGTATCTAGCTAATATAGATCTGTGTGGATCATTTCACGTCAGGTTATGTCAGAAAACCAGGAAAATGACGCAGCCAGCTTCGCTCTGAGCGTCAGGAGACTTACTGCCAGAAATCAGGTAGATGCCGTTTGGATCGACGGCCAGACTGGTCACTGCATCCAGGTGAGCCACCATGGCGTGGATCAGTTTACCTGCAGAGAGGAGAGACGCGTCACCTGAGGACTGATACGGTTCCCGCTTCACGAGGTTCACCATCATTTCTGGGAAAGGCTCCCTTATCTATAAACAACATCTCAGTAGCGAGACAATTTAAAACGCTGAGCAGGAAAAAAATAAAACATTAGAGACGCATAGAAGTCATTAAATTATCAATTAGAATAATTTAACAGAATAAAATACAACAACTGTAAATAATAAATAAGGATAGATTAGTTAAATGAATAATGTTCAGAAAGAGACATTTGAGCCAAAGGCCAATCTAGATAAATACGTTTTTAATCTGGATTAACCCATTAAGCCCCGAGGAGCAAATCTGACCTGAAATCACATCTATGAATTAAAGCAAGTTCAGATTTCAAACTATAAATTGGAAAAATACAAGTGTTTGTATTTGTATGACAGAAAAGCATTGAGGAATATATTTTTTAGGTTGAATCACTATTTTAAATGTCAGCATGTCTGATTTCTAGGTGATTAAACACAGAAAGAATGAAAGATATTTATCCTCGACAAGTTTTTTTCCAAAATAAACACTGAAAAACGCCATAAAGCCGATTAGAAGCTCTGGATGAACCTCAGACTTTATTGATCCACATCTTGACTGGAACTCCAGCTAATCTGAACTGAACACGTTGAAGCATGTTTGTTCCACAGAGGTTCTGTGGGCAGCATGCTGGGAGGAAATGGGACCAAAGTGCATTTTTTCCTCTCATAATAGGGAATCTGGTCGGACAGATATCCTGATTTCTATTATTGGAGACCTTCTGCTGAGGCAAAGCCTTTGCTCCTCAGATTTAGCTGCTGGTTCAGTGAAACTGACCAATAATAGAAAATAAGAATAACAGCAGCTTATGGAACGCATGCCGGTTAAGCCGGGCTTACACAGTGCCACACTTCCCATCCCCTGAAATAGTCGCAGAGTGACCTCTGACCCCTCCATGGAAAGGTCTGAGTCTCTAGTTTCCAATGATGGCGGCCATTAGGGGGCGGGGCTACAAATGAGTACCTGCTATTGCATGACTCCCGCAGAGTCACATCTCAGCTGGAATTTTAAATCTCATTTTATTTTTTTACGCAGCTATAAAACAGAAAGTATTTGTGAAAAAACAATTTTAAAACATGTTTTAGAAATGTTAAAGCCCCATTTGAAAGGCGTGTGGATGAAACACCATGTGACTGTGCTTTGGCCATTGCTATAGCTAGATAAACATCAGCCGGTGTCAGCCGGGCCGGGTAGCGGGCCCAGTAGCGGGCCCGCCACCCGGCCCGGTACCGGACCCGGTACCCGGCCCGGTAGCGGTACCCGCCGGGCTGCAGGGGTTAAAGCAGCCGAGGCTCCGGGAGCTTTTCCAGGTTTCTGCTGCAGAGCCACAGATTAAACATCCTGTTATTAGAAGCGACGCCCCGCCGGGTAAAGATGGCCACGCAGCGGCACACTGACCTGATTTGTTATCAAAGAACTTGATTTGACGATCCTCGTGGGCGGTGATGGTGACCGGCAGCGTGGGGTGACTCACCGCCTTGTTGATATGATTCAGAGGCGGAGCAGCTGATGGGGGGAGGAGACAGAGGTCAACATTCGCTCTGAGGGGAAAGTCAGGCGTGAGCGAAGGCCTTACCGCCGTCTCCCTGAGCCTTCAGCACCAGTGCAGTCTGGGACGTCTCCAGGTCGTATATCGCCACGTCTCCGCTGTTAAAGGACGCCACCATGTGGGCGGGGTCACAACCATTGAAGTCCACAGAAGTGGGCATCCCGTGCTCTAAGGAGAGGGTCAGAATCAGCTGTGCTCAGTGAAACCGGCTCCAACAGTGGCGGCAGGGTTCTGTTCTGGGCGCGCTCACCGTTGCTGGCGTTGAAAGTGCTGATGCAGGGTTCTTTCTCCGCTGGGTTCCAGAGTTTCACCGTTCCGTCCGCGGAGCAGGACAGGAGCCGGTTCTTGATGCCGCTGTAAGCCAGTCCCCACACGGCGTCCGTATGGCCCAACAACGACCCCGCCAGGACGCTGGAATCTGTCGACACCGGAACAGTTAGCCTCCGGTTCTACTGGGAAGAACCAGCCGACCTGAAACCCTGCAGGGCTGCTGTTCTGTCAGAACGGCATACGCTGCTCTAATGTGCAACAGAGAATTTTCCCAGAAATGGATTTTAGCAGCAGTGCAGCAACCAGTAAAAACACCTTTATTTTAACTTTAAAAATAGAAAATCAGCTTTGATTATACTGGAATTAATTAGATGCAGAAACGGCCAGACGTGACGCCTCTACAGCTAAAACCATGTTAGTCAATATTAACATAAAATAAGTTACTTTAGTAGTAAAAAAAACGTGTGCGGGAATTTAAATTTGGTTCCATCTTGTTTTCATATTTAAAATCATAGAAAACATTGGCTGTGCTTTATATCCTGACAGAATTCATTTAGGTTACATAAAAACTACTGCTGATCTGACGGAGCACGCCGTTCTGACGCCGTATGCCGATCTGACGCCGTATGCCGATCTGACGCCGTATGCCGATCTGATGCCGTATGCCGATCTGACG